TTGAGATGGCTCCTCCTTCTGCTGCAGTGTTCCCTTTTGACTGCTCTGTTTCTCCTTCAAGTCCCAGCATAGACTTCCATCTCCTGTGAGCCCTTCTTCGTTTCTTCCACGTGGAGTTTGCTACCTATTCCTCTCAGCCTCGGCAGTGTGTTCACTGCCTCTCTCATATCACTTAGCACATCTGGATTCATTATAGTCTGTCTTCCTTGCCAGTGTGTACCTTCCAGAGATGCAAAAGGCCTGTACCCAAGGAGATGACGAAGGAGTGACTGACAATGAACCAAGGAATCCACTCTTGGGTATTTTACTCCCCTTGAGTTCTCAAGTGCTGGAGAAATGAGATCCCTTAATTACTCAAAGGGTGTCATGACAGAACCATTCATACCCCTGGGCTTGTTGAAGCTCATTGGCATTATTGAGAACTCTCTTCCCTGCAGCCACCTCCTTACCGTTTCCCCTGGTGGGGCTTGGTACCAGCCTGACTGACGTGGCAGAGAGGCGGAGCTCAGAATAACCGAATTGCTGATGTTGAGGCCGCTGACTGGGCTTCGGTCCCATCTCTGCCCCTTTTGATGTGGGGTGAAATGTACCTTGGGAAGGTATACGTTTGCTTTGTGCTTCAGTTTTCTTACTCTTTGTTTTTAGCAGGGGACCTAATATCATGTGTCTCATATGGTTGTAGAAAGAATGAGAAAGATATGCCGGACACGGTGGCTCAAGCCTATAATCCCACTTTGGGAGGTGGAGGTGAGAGGATTGCCTGAGCCCAGGGTTCAAGACCAGCCTGGGCAACTTGATGAGACCTCGTCTCTACAATAAATCAAAAAATTATCTGGGCGTGATGGCGCATGCTTGTAGTTCCAGCTAATTGGAAGGCTGAGGCGGAAGGATCACCTGAGCCCAGCAGGTCGAGGTTGTGGTGGCCGTGAGCATGCCACTGCACTCCAGCCTGGGCGATAGAGAGACTCCCATCAAAAAAAAAAAGAAGAATGAGAGGGATGATAATCCTTATAATGTGCCTGGCACATAACAGGCATTGAGCAACTGAGTGTAAGCCCCCTGGGAGGTTCTTGCTGATTTCCAGGTCAGGGCTTCTTAGCTTGCAGCACCTGGGCTGGTTACTGCCAACACAAGAGTATGTTTTTTCTGTGAGGTCTGGGAGTGTGGGGGTGGCTACGGAAGTTTTTAAAATAACAGAAGACCGGAGTTATGATTTCTCTTGAGAACCTTAAAAGATCTGAGATAAATCCAGTGGTTTAGAATATGGGCTTAGGAGCCAGTCTGAATTAGAGCACAGCTCCTGCTAATTGCAAGCTGTGTTTCTTAACCTTTCTGTTTCCTACCTCCTTGATCTCTAAAATGAAATAATAATAGTACTTCACAGGCTTCCTGGGATTATTAAAGGAGATAATGCATTTAAAACTCTTTGTACACCTGCCTGGCGTATAGTGAAGAGTTAGTAGTGTGTGCTACTTTTGTTGCTCCTGCTGCTAGTTTTTTTAAGAACTTTAAAAAAAAATAGTGATGGGGTCTTACTATGTTGTCCCGACTGATCTCGAACTCTTGAGCTCATGGGATCCTACTGACCAGGCCTCCCAAAGTGCTAGGATTACGGGCTTGAGCCATCATGCTTGGCTACGGCCCGTTTTACTGCTGCTGTTGTTACTAGCCAGAAACCCTGGGCTTGAATCCCTTCCTGTGTCAACCATTGGGCTTGAGTGATACATGCACCTTAGGTGGACATGCACTTTCCAGATAGTTATAGGCCTCGCCACTCTCTGTCACCTTTACTGTCCGGCCTTCTTAAACTCCTGGCCTTAAGCCATCATCCTGTCTCAGCCTCCCAAAATGCTGGGATTACAGACATGAGCCACCACGCCAGGTCCTGTCCTGCTTTCCTGTTAACCATTCTGGTTGACTCCTGTTGCCTGATCCAGCTTTTGGGCATTTATCTCGAAGGGAACTGTGCTGTGTATGAAGCAGTCTTGATGGAGGCATGAACCCTAAGGGACACTTATTTAGTACAGTGATTCTGCATGGAATCAGAAACTCTGGGCCTGGGTGTAGCAATCTGTCGCTTAAGACTCCTTCTGACTGTTTCTGGCTCCCACTAAAGTTTGCAAACATAGCGCATGTGTTCTGTGTCCATATTACCTATATTTGGTTTCCATGTAAAATTTAAAACATTATGTTTCTAGGCACTTCAACTGATTTGTAAGTTCTGCACTTTCCTTAGTAAGGCCACTGCCATCTTCTAAACATGCATTTTCTTCAATATCAGATAATACTTGGTTTGTGCTTTCCTGCTCTCGATGTTCTGTTAAGATCCATGTGAACTTTGATCTATTAACTTATTTGAGGAATACAGTTCACCTGGGGTAATAGCCAAACATTTTTGGAAAAAGACTTTAGAAAGTTATGAAAGGAACAATTTTGAAAGGAACAAGGAATATATAACTAATGGGATTAATAAGATTGAATGATTCTTGTATAGGTTATGATGTAGTGATTATCTCCCTTCAAACTCCCATCAGTTGAGAATTCCCGCTGCTTCTCTGCCTCTTCCTCCTCTCTTCTTGATAGTCATTTCCCCTAGTTTCTCAAGAGTTCTGCTATGGGAATGTGTGGGAATGAAACCTTCTTAAGTCCCCTTCTTTGCCTGGAGGTTATTGGGAAGACCTTGTCCAGTTTATCCAGCAAAAATAATTACATTTTAGCTTCTGACAGGAGCCTTTGTGTTCTGAGTTCACATATTATATCAAAGTGACTGTTTTTTTCCCTGCTTTTTGTTCTTTTCTATGTATCATTTATGACTATATTATAGCATCTTGTTCTTTATTTTAGAATTTAGTATTTGTGATTGCTGGTTTGGAAAGTTTTTCATTTTGTGATTATGGTGTTTAGAATATCTCTAATATGCCCGTTCTCCAAGAAAATGAAATGAAGTATTTGTATTTATGGGGGACAGATGTACTATTGGAATTTTATCTTGAAAGATCTTTTGAAAAAATGATATATGTTGACTGTACCCACATTTAGGAAAGATTGAAAATGACATTTGAGGAAAAATGCATAGGTTACACATCCAATGTCATTAGAGGCAAAATACATAGATTACACCACTATAGCTTGCCATGTACTGAGGTGGGCTTAGATGAAGTTACTTTTGATAAAGTGTTATAGTCTGCTTGTGACTGTGTAATCTACTCAGCAGAGGTAACATGGATTTAGTGACATCCATCATAGTAATGATGATTTAATTCCATTGAGCGAAAATCAGACATCAAGAATACTTTCTAAAGGGGAGTTTTGGTGGTGGTTAAATGCTACAGTTACACATTTTACATTGCAAATATCCACGGTTCATAGCTAAAGCATTTTGTCAGTAGCTTTAACACTGAAATATGGATGGACAGTAGCCCCTGAGCTACACATGTGCTGTTAGTGATCCTGCTTTGTTCGTGGTCATTCTCTAGTGAGACCAGGAGCCTTGTCAGCCTCACAAACATGTTCTAGGACAGCAATTGGACAGACTGGAGCTTTCATTTCAAGAAATTGGTATCCTCTCATGATAATGAAAGCCTCAGTGAGAATTGACTTCCCTTTTGCTTCACTAGCACATAAAAATAAAGCCTGTTTGGTTTATCTTATCAAATGTTTATTGATTGCACAATGAGACAGTTTCTGCCTTGAAAAATAGACATAGGTTTTTAAAAGAGTAGATACAAAGGTGAGCAAGTAATTACAACACAACTTGGTAGGTTTAATATTTGAAGTGTGCAACATACAGTTGAGGGAGTGATTGGATTCGAGGTGGCGTTAGGATGTTGGCCGGGTAAGATTTCATAAAGTAAGTGATGACAACTTTGGGTTTCACAGATGGATAAGAGTTTTCTATGTGTGTCAGGGGAAAATGTACATGTGCAATGGCAAAAGGAAGTGTGGATTTTCTGACAGTTAGAAATTTATGTGAGAGTATAGGGCTCAAGGGATGGAGGAACAGGTAGGAGGTGAGGCCAGGAAAGTAGGCAAGTTCTGGAGCCTTCAGGGCCTTTTAGGCCGAGGAAGGAACCTGGACTTTCCTTCATGATGCTCATTTTGGAGCTCAGGGCCCATGCACAGAGCATGGCTACTCCTTTATGTATTTCCTCTAGAAAATGTAAATTATCACCCACAATTCTAGAAAACCACATTTACTTTTTGAACTACAAAAATATCCAAGAAATAATATGGAGGTCAATGCAAATAGGTCACCATCCTTTTGAGAAATCTCCCACTATAGCAGTTCTATTCAAAACATCTGTAGACCACGGTCTGTGTGGAGGGTTGTGGAAGATACCAAGAAAACAGTACATGTCTGTCTTTCAAGAATCCTAACCATCTTTGGGGCATGCAGTCAGGAATACAGCTAACTAGTAAAGGAAAATCCACATTGAGGGCCCTGATACACCCAAATAGTAGAACTAATTATTTTCAACTTGGTAGGTGGGGCGCAGGAGATTAGGGGGTATGATCCAGGAAGGCTTTGCTGAGTAGGTGACATATTCAACCATCATTAGGGTATTTGCTGATAGAAGAATTCCAAAGAATAGCAGCGCAGCCTTTTTGCCCTTGAATTGTACACAGTTAGGTTGTAAGCAGTGTGTCTTTACTTTGTTCCTTGGATGGTGTATTGGTGTAATACGAAAGGGGCTCTTTGTACTGGGAAGGAGAAAATCTTTCCTCGGGGATTTCAGAGGTCCCTGTGACCCACTTGGGATCCTCAGACTCTTCATATCGAAGCCTTTCAACCCCCAGCTTTAACTTTCCACAGTGGACTTTGGAAGTTGAGTTTTTGTTTGTTTGTTTTCAGATCAGCAAGTATCCACATTTATGGGGCACAAAGCAGTAGCATTGTTTGAATTATGTATGTGAAAGAATGTGAGAAAGCAGAGGGGAGGTTTTAGGGATATACATTCCTTCTTAATCTTTTCCAAAATGTTGTGACTGCTCTTGAAAAGATGACCTCTAGTGGCCATTTGCTGCCTTTTCTGTTCTCTTAATAATAGTCCATTCTGCTTATGAATAGATCAGTGTGGAATTGAAACTTACATAATTTTTGTTCTGTATACCAGGAAAATAAAAATAAAATATAAGAAAGCATTTATTCCATTCCTTTTTTTATTGGTTAAATTTTATTTCCACATTATCTTTTGAAATCTCATCAATAAATAGCAGTTAACCATATGTAGAATTGTCAGCCTAGGGTTATATTATCTGTCTGACTGCTGTGATTTTCTTGGCTTGATGTGGTGGTCTTTCTCCCTCTCATACATGGTAGCCTTGCAGTGAATTTTTTACATAAGAATATGTATATTAAGGGATCCATACAAATGTTAGTTGCTGCCAAAAAGAGAGTTGTTTCTTTGGCAATAAACAGTTGATTTTGCAGCGTGCAGTCAGTCTTATTGTTGGTTTGACTGTGAGTATATGGGACCCTGGCAAAATGAAATGGAGCAAAACATACAAAGAAGACAGCCAAGACAACAAATACTTTGCCTTCCAGCTTTCTGTTTTTGCTGTCCTTACCTTTGGACTTTTTATGAGAATTATATACTTTTTTGGCTATCACCACATAAAACACCAGCATTAGAACAAAAGCAGTCCAGAAAATAAACTGAGATATGTTATTTACCATTTGATGCCATTTCAGCCCCAGAGGACCCTTTAAGGAGGCACATTTTTTCACAGATGATGGTGTTGCTTCCTTGTTACTCAAGATCATGTTCGGTAGGGAGAGGAAGAACAAAAGGAACCAGGTGAGGGTCGAGATAATTCTTGCAAACACAGGTTTTTTAATGAAAAAATTTCCAAAAGGTCTGATGATCTTGAGTAGTCTGTCAAAGGCTATGAGGCCCAACAGCACGATGTCCACATACATGGTCTCATAAAAGATCACTGAAGAGAAGCGGCACACGAAAGCTCTGAGCTGCCAGGGTCCAAGGTATGAGTCGGAGAGGATTTTGAAAGGAAGCGTGAGTGCCATGATCAAGTCAGCCACCAAAGTGTTTTTGAGGTAGATGATGAAGGTGGATGAGCTGGGGATGTGAACAAACACCCACAGGGCCAGCATGTTCAGCAAGATGCCAGAGAAGAATACCACAGCATAGAGAGCTGGGAACACCAGCTGTACCACCCGGGTGTCTCTGGGGCACCGCTCAGACCCGTTGAAGCCTCGCATCGCGGTGATGTTCATTGTTTCCAGTGAAGCAACTACAAATAAACATGCACACACACACACAGGAAAACAAAAAGCCCTTCATAATTTGCAAGTGCTATTTTTTAGAAACAGACTTTAGGTTTGTCGTGTATCAACAACCTGCATTTATTCAACACATTCAATGCATCTATTCAGAAGGCAAATGTTGCTTCTGGCTCGCATTTTTAAAGCATGTAATAACATTTTTTGTAATTTTAACAGTACCATTAACTTTCACATCCTTGTGAAATCCAAATAACAGATTCTCCTTCATTCACAAGTGCTACTTTTAGTACAGCAGTAAAACAAAACTCCATTTAGGAGATAATGCATTATTAATCATTATTAACATATCAGATTGCTATAAATTATGTAATTCCTTATGCTTATCATCTATGCTTTGTAGAACATGAAGGTGAAAGCATTTTTTTTCCTTAAGCATATTCCATTTTTTTAAATAAGCAAGCACACTTCATAATAAAAATGGAAATTCACCTTTGGTTGGGAGGATACTCTGTTCTGTGTCTTCTGATTGTGACAGTCATTAGTTTAGCCCACGAAAGAGCATGTGAAGCAAATGTTCTGCTTTCTTATACTGGGTTTCCTTCCTCATTTTCACTTGTGTAATGTAACCCATTAGACCTTCATATTCAGACCTTTGGAGGATTTGCTAATGCACTCTTCTAAGTCAAACTTATGTAGTGTTAATCTACTATGACTTGAATAAATGAACTTAATTTGCAGTTACCTTTATTTTATTTTATTTTTCGAGTCTCTCACTCTGTTGCCCAGGCTGGAATGCAGTGGTATGCTTATGGCCACTGCAGCCTTGACCTGCTGGGCTCAGGTGATTCTTCTACCTTAGTCTTCCAAGTAGCTGGAACTACAGGCACGTGCCACCATGCCCAGTTAATTTTTTAATTTATTGTAGAGATGAGGTCTCACCAGGTTGTTCAAGCTGGTCTTGAACCCGCAGACTCAGGTAACTTCTCACCTTGGCCTCCCAAAGTGCTGGGTTTATAGGCGTGAGCCACCCTGCCCGGCCTGCAGTTACCTTTAAACTCTCTCTTCTTAACTTTGCTGAAGCTTATCTTTTCACTCACATGTTCAGTGAACTTTTTGAGTTACTCTTATATATAATAATCAGTGGTAGAAAGATGAAGAAAATAATCCCAGGAGGAGAAAAAGACTTGATAGAATTATCTTCTACATCCTTGTAGACTGGACTTTCCAATAATTTGTGTTCAGGAGGATGGCATGTTTATTTCTGTAGACATTTGTCTTACTCTTTTGGTTTAGGGATCTCTGAGTTATTATGATATATTTTCTAAAAGGTGAGGGCTATTAGACTCAGATTTTGGGGGATAGAATCCTATTCCACTACTCGGAAGGCTGAGGTGGAAGAATCACTTGAGCCTAGCAGCTCAAGGCTGCAGTGACTGTGAGTGTGCCATTGCACTCTAGCCTGGATGACAGAGTGAGACTCCAACTCAAGGAAAAAAAAAAAAAAAAAAAAAAAAGAATACTAGTTCCACCAATTATTTGAGATTTGTTTAAAAACCAATGACTTAACAGCTCTGTGTCTCAGTTTCCTCATCTGTATAATGGGTTTGAATGTACTATCTGCCAAATAGTATTGTCAAGAATGAATTAATTGCCTAGAATAGTAAGCAGTAAAAAATGTTAGCCATTCACTGCTATGGGAGTAAATTGTGGATTAGAGTAGAGATATTATACCACTTCATTTATAAGAAAGCCCGTTTTGAAAATCGTTTCTGCCTCTGGGGTTGTATTTGAATTGCAGAAGAAGACTGCAGGGGTTTCCTCAGTCAACCTTGGACCAATGTCTATAAATTTTTTTCCTTTAAATCTCTTCTAAGTTCGAAAAAGTCTAATAGTTACTCTCTTATAAAGTTATTGTCCATGATAGAAATGCTTCTTTGCTGAATAGGTAAAAGAAAAAGAGGAAATCAGGAGATCTTATGGGGGATATGAGGGTTCTCCAGGGTGAGTTTCATTTCGTATTTCCTGCCACAAGTTTTACCATAGAGTTAGACTAGACTGTGGGGTTGGGTTGATCACACAGTTTTGGTTAACTTGGCTTTGGATTCTGAGAATGAAAATATCATATTCCCCTGGACATTATAAAATATGGAGCAATACAGTGCTTTATAAATGAGGTTGGCACTATCAAAATGGAGGTGCAGTTTGAAAATTTTTGTTTGACTCAAACTGATTCTTAGGACTACAGATTCAAGATTTTATTAATGTAAAAGAATATAATGTAAACATATACCTTTTTTTTTTTTTTTTTTTGAGTTGGGGGTCTCATTCTGTCATCCAGGCTGGAGTGCAGTGGCACATTCATGGCCACTCCAGTGTCGACCTGCTGGGCTCTGGTAGTCCTTCCAAGTAGCCAGAACTACAGGCATGCACTACCATGCCTGGCTAATTTTTGTTTGTGAGTTGGAGTCTCACTCGGTTGCCCAGACTGGATTGCAGTGGCCGCTGCTGGCCACCACAGCCTCGCCTGCTGGGCTCCGGCGATCCTTCCACCTCAGCCTTTCGAGTAGCTGGGATCACAGGCATGCGCTACCATGCCCGGCTGATTTTTGATTTATTGTAGAGATGAGGTCTCGCTGCCCATGCGGGTCTCTAATCCGCGGGCTCAGGCAATTCACTCACCTCAGCCTCCCAAAAGGCACGGGATTACAGGCTGAACCACCGAGCCCGGCTAATTTTTTATTTATTGTAGAGATGAGGTCTTACCAAGTTGCCCTGTCTGGTCTTGAACCCACGGCCTCAAGCAATCCACTTACCTCAGCCTCCCAAAGTGCTGGGATTACAGGCTGAGCCACTAAACATGTATCTTTTTGTTGTTTCAGCAGTGGAAAAAAACTTTATTTTTGAAGTAGAGGAATTCAACCTACATGATTAATTATAAATTTCCCTATAGCCTCAAGTCCATTACCTAAAAGATTAGGAATAGTTTCACTTTAAACAAGGGAAATTCTGTAAACAATGTGAAAACTGGAAATCACTTTTTGGTTAAATTTCAAAATGCTTAAGTGTGGGGAATTTTCTAAAGAGGAACTGATTTCGGTGCCCATTTTTAGAGTTATGAAAATGTATTCTCTTAAATGTGATAGGTGTCAAATGTCTGATGGATATTCATTTCTACATGTTCACGCTTATTACGTATGAGCTGATTTTTCCCTTGGTTCTCAACAGAGCCAGTGTCTGTTAGGGGTGTCATTTGCCCCACAGGCCTCATCTTTGAAGCTGCTCTGCAGAGTAGTTAGGACCCAGGCTGCTTGGGCTCAATTCCTGTTTCCAACTCTTACTTTTCTTGTAACCCTGGGCAAGTTATATCTGCCTGCTGTGAAATGGGTGACTTCTTTTTATAATGAAAGTAAATAATAGTGTCATAGGATTGTTAAGAGAATAAAATGAGTTGAACATTCAGCAAGTGCTTAGAATAATGCCTATCATGAATAGGTTTCCTGTAAATTTCTTGTTAAATAGAAAGAAACTTGGAATATTACTCATACCTGTGAGGATATCTCACCAAAGGAAGGAAGCGTCAAAGAAGATACACTAAAAGGTTCCAGAAATTAGTAGCCTCCCAAATGGGAATAAACTGAACATTTAACTATCAGGCTCTAAGGAAATGTAGTTAAGATCAATAAAGTTACTCTCGTTATACTGATTTAAGTGATTCTATTATCTTATTGAATTCTTACAACAGTCCCCCGGAGATCAGTCCCAATTTAAAGTTGAGAAAACTGAAATGCAGAAGTTAAGCAGTTTTCCCAAAGTCATGCAACCCAAGCCTGCTGTGAGCCCATATAGTCTAGATCCAGAGCCCATATTTGGAACCTTCCCAACTCTCCTGCCTCCCAGAAGCCATAGGCAGAGTGACTGTGGAACTTTCTATCAATATCTGGAATTTTTGATCTAGGAATTGCTAATGCATGAGAAGGGAACAGTCAACTACACAGATAATAGTCTTGTGAACCTTTCTGCCACAAAGTGAGATTGGAGGTTAAAAGCATAAATGGGTTCAAAGCAGTGTGATTGGGAAGGAACCAAAGAAGACACAAAATAAAGGTCACAGAAATTAGCCTTCCACATGAGAATCAACTGCTATTTTTCATTTGTAGTCTCCTTTGAGATTTTTCAGTTCAATCAAAGTTAACAGTCCAAGGTTTCCTGTTGATGTGACTAACCAGTACTGCACAATCATCTCTAAAACGATGAGGAACTGTTTGCTTTCATATAGCATGAAAGTCAGAGTGGGAACTCCTCTTTCTATACTCATAGAAGGACTTTTTACTTCCCATCAAAGAATGGCACGAGACTTTCTCAGATAATGTGAAATTGTTTTAGAAATTCCATACTATAGTAACCAAAAGTGGTAATAGTAATCTGAAATGATTTATTCAGTTTATCAGTAAATATAAACTTTTTTTTTTTACTGATTAAGTCAGTATTAGAAGATATCTACATGTAACTGGAAACAGGAAATAAATTCAGTGTCATCTGAAACATTGAATATTTATTTTCAATTTTTTTTTTAATTAAAAAAGGAAATCATATGTTTAAAACTCCTCTCCGGGGAATGGGCCACCTGAGACCCAAGCCCCACCCAATCACCACTGCACAACATTCATGTAACGAACAGGCATATGTATCCTTGAATCTAAAATAAAGATGAAAAAAAAAAATTCAAATAGAAAAGTATATGGTAGAAAGTGACTGGCCGGGCATGGTGGCTCAGCCTGTATGTAATCCCACGCTTTGAGAGGCTAAGGTTAGTGGATTGCCTGAGCCCGTGGGTTCGAGACCCGCCTGGGCAACTTGGCAAGACCTCATCTCTACAATAAAATAAAAAAATCAGCTGGGCGTGGTAGCGCATGCCTGTGATTCCGGCTACTCGGAAGGCTGAGGCGGAAGGATCGCTGGAGCCCAGCAGGTCGAGGCTGCGGTGGCCGGGAGCGGCCACTGCACTCCAGTCTGGGTGACAGAGTGAGACTCCAACTCAAAAAAAAGAAAGTGACCATTAATTCTTCCCTTACATATACCTAAAGGAGGAATTAATGTTTCACTTTTTATTTTTTGGTCATGTATTTATTTGGTCATGTATTTATCCTAGAAATTGCCTTTTTATGCTCTTCCCTCATTCTAAAAGATTCTCTCACTGGTGGCATTGTAATCCCGTTTTGAGTGTTGCCAACCCACAGTGATCAGCTGTTTTGAGTGCAAATCTACTGAAATACCGAGATGTATGAAGAGAGCGTTCTTTTTTTTTTTTTCCTGAGTCAAAATCTCACTCTGTTGCCTAGGCTGGAGTGCAGTGGCACACTCATAGCCATGCAGTCTCCACCTACTGGGCTCAGGCTGGTCTCAAACCCATGTGCTCAAGCAATCCTCTCACCTTGGCCCCTTGCAAAGTGCTGGGATTATAGGTGTGAGCCACTGTGCTGAGCCTGAGAGAGGGTTCTTTTACCGCAGAGGATTTTTCTTCCTGTGTTTTAACTACTCGTCCTGGGGGAGGCAATCTCCTTTTTTAAAAGAAATAGTTAGGTTTTATGGGCTATGCAGTTTATGTCACAGCAACTCAGCTCTGCTGTTGTAGCAGGAAAGCAGCCAAAGATAAAATCAGAATGGGAATAGTTTTGTTCCAATAAAACCTTACTTATGGATGCCAAAATTTGACTTTTTAAAAATTTTTTGAGTTGGAGCCTCACTCTTGTCATCCAGGCTGGAGTGTAGTGGCATGCTCATAGCCACCACAGCCTCAATCTCCTGGAACCAGGTGATCCTTCCACCTCAGCCTTCCAAGTAGCAGGAACTACAGACGCACACCACCACGCCCCACCAGTTTTTGTGATTTATTGTAGAGACGAGGTCTCATGAAGTTGCCCAGGCTGGTCTCAAACCCCCGGGCTCAGGCAATTCTCTCGCCTCGGCCTCCCAAAGTGCTGGGATTGCAGGCTGAGCCACTGTGCCTATAATCCCCAATTTGACTTTTATATAAATTTTATGTGACAAGCAATTTTATTCTTTGATTCTTTTTCTTCACACACATTTGAAAATGGACATGTGTAATATTTTGATACAAGCATACAATGTATCATCAAATCAGGGTAATTGAGATGTTATCACCTCAAGCATTTATCATTTCTTTGTGTTAGGAATATACCAATTCCACTCCTTTAGTTATTTTGAAACGCACAGTGAATGATTACTAACTGTAGTCGCCCTATTGAGCACCCCAACACGAGATCTCATTCCTTCTCTCTAACTATATTTTTGTACCTGTTAACCATCCCCTTTTATCCTGTGTTCCCTGCAACTCTTCCTTGTCTCTAGTGACCATTCTTCCACTCCCATAAGTATGTACAACTATTACGTATCCATAATGACTAGAAAATTTAAAAAACATTTAAAGAGAAATCTTAGATCCTAGACTGTACAAAACCTGGGGTGGGCTTGAATTTGGCCTGTGGGCTATGGTTTGCCAACACCTGGTTTAGATGTTTTCTCTAAGAAACCCCTGAGAGAAACCGCCAGTAACCAGCATCCATACATTGTAAGCCATTGAGGCTGTCATCAAGACTATTTTGGTGTCTTATCTCCTAAGTTTTTCACTTCTGCACCTGAGTCTATGGAGTTTGGCCCTACTTTTAAAAAATTGTGAAATGTGGGATTATTCTGTATACTAAAATGCCTAAAGCTTCAGATAGAAACATGTTCTGTGTATAACGAGTGCTCCATAAATACTGGTCTCTTAGACTGTCTTGAATGGATTCAGTTTGATGTAAGAGTATAAGTACAAGGGAAGACACCCCCCCCAATAGACTTCTCTTCTAGAGGGTGGGCTCCTTGTAGTATGCTTGGAATTTGTTTCTCTGGATCAAATGGCCGATCAAAGTTTTTATCTGGAAGTTTTCAGAAGGTTGCATAATGATTTGCAGAAGAAACACCCTGGTTGTGGCAAACAGGTAAGTGGTTCTTCCACCATGACAATACACCTCTCCACACTGCACTGGGTGTTCAACAGTTTTTGACCCAAAACGGCGTGGCCCCCATGTCCTACTCTTCCTATTCACCCCGTCTCTCCCCAAGTGATTTTTTTTGTTTCCCTGATGAAAAAAGTTCTCAAAGGAAATGTTTAGCCGATATGGAAGAGGTGAAACAAAAAATGACAGAATCACTCAAAGGCATCAAAAGTGTTAAAAAAAAAACAACTGTTTTGAGCAGTAGAGAAAGCATCTCAGTAGGTGTATTGCATCAAATGAAGAGCACTTTGAAGGTGACTAAAGTTTAAACATATAAGAATAAATACAATTTGTGATATATTCTGGGGGTTTTGGGTTCCCTCTTGTATGATGTCTTATGTCTTTGAATAAAGAAATCGTGGCAAAGTGTGATTTAGAGTTTAATGTAAAATTTTCATGCTACATATACTTACCTATAAAACATAAGTAATTTCAAATACTTGGAATACCATATTACTGTTAGCACTTCTGTTTTTTCCTCTCTTGTGGAAATTGCCATCTCATGGAATTAGCGTAGTCCAAAAAGATTCAGTCATCTCTATTCACTCTGCAGTCTTCCCAACATTTGACCTTCATGACACTGTGATGTGGTCAGTTTCAATTCATTCTTTACCCTGACTTGGGTTGGTTGAGGGGTGGATCTGCCCTTCATTTTTAAAAAAATATTTAAAAGATGTAAAGGGTTATGTATACAAGTGGACATTGTACAGGTAAAACTTGGGCTTTCCTTTAGTCCCCACTTTGCCTGGTTTGAGATCAGGCACCTGTATTGATGTTGTGCCCCCCCCATCTGCCCTTTGTTTTTATTATACAAAAAATAAGATTATATTCATTGTTATCTAAATTTTTTTCTAGCCTAAATATCCTGATATTTTTATAAAACATGCAGATTTATGCATATGTTGGCATGAACTGTGCTAGTCTATGTGGTGGAAATGGGTACTACTGTTTGTCTCAGCAATTCATAGAGATTAGGCATCTTTTTTGTTTTGTTTTGTTTTGTTATTTTGAGTTGGAGTCTCACTCTGTTGCCCAAACTGGAGTGCAGTGGCACACTCCCAGCCACCGCAGCCTCGACCTGCTGGGTCAGGCGATTCTTCCGCCTCAGCCTTCCAAGTAGCCAGAACTACAGGCATGCACTACCAT